TTCACCGTGTTAGCCAGGATGGTCTCGATCTCCTGACCTCGTGATCCGCCCGTCTCGGCCTCCCAAAGTGCTGGGATTACAGGCTTGAGCTACCGCGCCTGGCCAAAAATGTTCCATATGAAAATTCTTGGCAGTTTTTTCTATGTTTTCTACATGATGTATAACCTTTTATAATTATGTAACATTAATTAAAATACACCATGCCAACACCTGTGAAAAGAAGGGAAAAATAAAGTATATATATACAGTGATTTCTGTTAAATATTATATTTAACAAGATACATTTCCCTTTCCATTGTGGATCAAGTTAATTAACATAAAATGCTCTTTACCAAGAGCTATGGGATTTGAGGCTCAGTTGCTGAGATTCAGTATTTCAGTGCTGCAGTGTTTCTTATTTTCTTGCTTTGGTCACACATAAAACTCTTACATGATTCTGAAATTCAGTGAATAAAGGTCAGAGACATATTACTTTAGACATTGAATCAAATAAATACTTCTACCAAAATATTCTTAAAACCCATTTTTAAGTAACTATTGCAAAAGCTGTATTAGCATAAACCATTTCTTCCAGCTACTTGGGAGACTAAGGGGAAAGGTACCTATTGAGTACATGTTTGTCTTTACAGCATTAGTAGCAATGTGGGAAAATTCCAGAAAAAAAATGCAAAAAGCCAGGCTTTCCAAATCAGTCATGCAAGGTATTTTTTCAAGAGCAGGAGTTGGCCTAGATCACATGTGGTTTGCTGAGTCCCGGTCCTGGCATCATAAAGCTGAGAAAATACAGTGTAGGTTTGAAGCCTAGACAACAGCAGAGTAACAAAAAACACATGGTAGGAGTGGGATCCACATGGGAAAAGCAACACTGAGATGGAAATTAACAAAGTGTATATATAGATTTACTTATATATGTATTTATTATATTTACACATACAGTGTGTCTATATATACACACTATTATCTGGTCTTTATTAAGATTTGCTTTATTATAGAAGAAAATGAAAAGGAAATTACCTGAGGTTGTAAATCCTTTCTAATTACAAAGGTAGTATCAATAAATGTCAAGTATCAATAAATGTCAGCCTCTTAAAGGAGGTCTGGGATGGAATGAACAAACAATTCGTATATCCTTTTTTTTTTTTAACTCACCATTATCACAAGGCTTAAAATATTTGTACTCTGTAACTCAGCTGCTAAATGTATATATATCGAGGAGCTACAAGTGAATTTCATTCTTTTGTATATTTTCCAGAGTTTATACAATAAACATTTTGCCTTTTAAAATGAGAGCAAAAAGGATACATTAGTATTGGCCTTGAATCAAAGAAATTTCTTCTGAATCTCAACATGACATACACAGAAACAGTCAACAAGTTTTGTCATAAAAGAACAGTGATAGCACATGTATTTGACAGCTGTTTTTTTTTTTTTCTTTTTTTGAGATGGAGTCTCACTCTGTTGCCCAGGCTGGAGTGCAGTGGCGCTATCTCGGCTCACTGCAACCTCCGCCTCCCAGGTTCAAGCAATTCTCCCACCTTAGCCTCCTGAGTAGCTGGGACTACAGGCGCTCGCCAACACACTGGGCTGATTTTTGTGTTTTGTAGAGACAGGGTTTCGTCATGTTGGTCAGTCTGGTCTCGAACTCCTTTGATAGGTGTTTTTTATCTTAGGTGTTCAGTAAATCATTTGATTAATTCTTAGCCCTCAGAACAAAGTAATGGTATTGGCTTTGGTCTCAGCCTACTATTGTCCATTGATGAAGCTGTTGCAGGAAGAGCCCCAAGGTCCCAAGCATCACACCTAGTACTGGGTGACAGTTCATCAGTCGAACATGGCATGACAGGGAAAAGGCCTGGCACCGAGAAGCAGAATTTCCAAGAGTATGAGTGAATGAATGATGGTGGCCAGTGGAAGGAAATTATGAACATGTGTATTCCCCAAGCATGCAGAAAAACACATTAGTTTAAAACATGTAAGCTTAGCAGAAAACTGGCAGGAAGAAATAAAAGGATCTCTATTTTAAAAGTAGTAAAGGGAGATAGTTGAGAAAAATGCTGGGTTTTCTCTATTAGAAAGTCTGACATACACCATGTGAAATTGTAGGGATGTGGCCACTTCCAAGTAGATGATCTGGTGTACAAAACTCAGTATACTCTCTCCTTTTGTTTTTGCAGGTAAAAAGGGGTCACTATGGAGTTCAAAGGACAGAACTCCTACCTGGTGACCGGGACAACCTGGCCATTCAGACCCGGGGTGGCCCAGAAAAGCATGAAGTAACTGGCTGGGTGCTGGTGAGTACCAGAACCAAGAGCTGGCAAGAGTTTCATTCTTAGCATTAGACATAAGCGGACCTGGCAAAGGTGCCTGATGTACTGCCAGCCTGAAGGTGCTTGCTCTTCCACATCTCTTTGGAATAGCTTTACCATGGAGTCGCTGCTTCTCTTTCAGAGAAACTAAAGGAAAAGTGCTTTATTGCATGTTTTGAAAACAACCAATGAATTAACAAGAACTACTATTTTCCTAAGAGTTCAAAGCAAAATCCTTACACAGAGCTGCATGGCCCAAGCATCGTTTTAACTCATTATTGATTAATAAATACCTTATTTTACTTGACCCTTGATATTCATGGAGAATACTTTGATCACATACCCTTATCAAGGTTGCCCTCAAACCAATAATGTGTACCTATCTAGTTTTTAACCTATGCAGTATGATCAAAAGTTGTCCATTACATTTCCTGAGATGACTCCTCAGCAAACCAAATGTAGTAGCTATCGAAGTCTCCTAGCACAGGACTTGCACTACTTCTGGCAGCACCTTTGCTATGAATCCCCTGGTCATCTTAGGAAACTTATGATATAATGACCTCATTGGAACCACTGACAAAAGAGAAGACCACCACAGAGGAATACTAGATCCTTTTTCTTTCACAGGTATCTCCTCTAAGTAAGGACGATGCTGGAGAATATGAGTGCCATGCATCCAATTCCCAAGGACAGGCTTCAGCATCGGCAAAAATTACAGTGGTTGATGCCTTACATGAAATACCAGTGAAAAAAGGTACAAAATAAATCTCACAGCCATTTAAAAATGACTAGTACATTTGCTTAAAAAAGAACAGAACTAATTATGAAAGTATCAGACATAGCTATTAATGAAATTCTGTAGTTAGGAATCCATAAGGGCATTAAGTATGCCATTAAAATGTAGAGCACAAGACTCCAAAAGATTATCTGGATGGGTGACTGAACGTCGTTATTATGACTTAGATGCTTTTACCTTATCTAACATGTAAGAGTCAAAACTCAAACTTGCCTGGAATGGCTTCTATTTCCCATAGCTTTCTACCTATCTACTTGGCATTTTCCCTTTGTGTCGTGACTATTATATTAAATTCTCATTTAAAAGAAAACGATTGTGGGCAATTCTCACCCTTCACTTTTGCTTTTAAAAGAAAAAGCCAGAAAGAGAGTATACTGGCAAATGCCCACTTCTGTTCTGTCTCCCCTTCCTTCACTGCCAAAAAACTTCCTCTGAAGAACCCATCCTGAGTGTCACAGCAGTGCTACTTTACATTTATATAGTTCTATGAAACTGATGTCTGAATTGGCTTTCCCTTAGACAAAAGAACAAAATTTACCATCAGCATGTCAAACCATTCCACTGTGCAGATCACTCAGCTGTGATATGAAAATAAAGAAGTATGTGGTCAGATTCTCTTCAGCCATAATGTGTAATGCCAGGCAATGAAACAGAGCAGTAGCTAAGAGTCAAGCCATGCGTTTGAGTCTCAGCTCTGCTACTAATTTTTCCTCCACTCTACCTTTTGAAGATCTGGACTACAAAGGAAAGGTCTTTAACCTCTCTGAATCTCATTTGTGAAATGTGCTCTTCCCGTTCTATAATAAGATGTACCTTTGATGCATCAACCAATACAGCAAAATTGCCTTTCATGGCTAAAATCATGTAACTCGAGTTCCAAAGAGCACTCCAGCATATTATTTATACAATTACTCATATATCCTTTATCCCCACATTTTAACATCTTCATTTATTTGGAAACACTCAACTACCTGACAGTTCAAAAGTCAACCACATCCCTATATGTAACTAATTTTTATCTTTTTCTTTTTTTAAACAGGTGAAGGTGCTGAGCTATAAACCTCCAGAATATATTAGTCTGCATGGTTAAAAGTAGTCATGGATAACTACATTACCTGTTCTTGCCTAATAAGTTTCTTTTAATCCAATCCACTAACACTTTAGTTATATTCACTGGTTTTATACAGAGAAATACAAAATAAAGATCACACATCGAGACTATCTACAAAACTTTATTATATATTTACAGAAGAAAAGCATGCATATCGTTAAACAAATAAACTACTTTTTTATCACAACACAGTACATTATTTGTCATTTTTTAAAAGCCACACAATAGAAACAAGACACCAAGATATTTTTATCTTGTTGAGTCTTGTAAAATAGCTAAACACTCATCATTCGCGGTGCAATACTCATAGACATAAGTTCCTGAAACAATAGTTTGCATGCATAAGGCATTCGCACCAAAGAAATCTGAAAAGAAAAAACAAATAGTAATTAGCAGAATTGTACTGAAGTGAATCCACTTCTCTACCCCAGAAAAAGGCAAAGATCTGGTACTGCAGCTAACGAATAAATGAGCGGAGCTGAGAACACGCACTCTGCTACCTCGGCTTATGGTGGTTCTTTCTCCTAGCAGGCTTTGGTATTTTACCCTTTCTGCCAGACATAATTTATATTCACCCACCTCAACTAAAAGGTTTTTAAAAACGCATTGTTTAAAATCCCTTGTACAAAGTCTTCTTATTTCCAAAAGATGAATAGCTTAGAGAAATTACCACACTGAAACCTAAACTGGTTTTTAGAAAAATCAAATTATCTTTTTCATATTTAGAACTAGGAATCTTACAGAAGCATGCTATCAAAATTGTAAAAATGCCAATCTGTTCCACCACACTAAATCTGCCTGGATAATCAGACCAACATAGTTTCCTCTAAACAAACATCAACTGCCAGTAAAGTCTATACACACCTGGGTTTTATTGCGGCAGCCCCTGCATTCATATGTATGGGTCCTGGTGTTGGCAATCGCCATTATTCCACAAAGATTGCAAACATGAACCTGATATGGATCTGATGCCTCAAACAATCTTTCCCTTAAAAACTGGGCTGCTCCGTGGGCAATCTGACAATCTCGTTCCATTTCTCCAAAACGCAGGCCACCGTCACTGTTAAGAGAAAAAAATTATTACTTTGTACTTATTTTTTATTATAAATACTGCCTTGAATAATGGCAAAGGTGGAGAATAATATTTGCAAAGAAGGAGAACTAGGCTAATTTTTATACCCTAGCATTCTCTCTACTGGTGGGGAGAGGAGAAGTCTACCAACTATTTGATGTGCATTAGAAAGTCCCCAAATGGGCTAAGCAAAGTGGCTCACCCCTGTAATCCCAGCACTTTGGGAAGCAGACTGGGTGGATCTCTTGAGCTCAGGAGCCTGGGCAACATGGCGAGACCCCATCTCTATTTTTTAACAAATAAAAGTAAAAAAAGAAGGTCCCCAAATGGAGTAGATACATTAGATTCTTAAGTATAGCATTTAATTTTCCTCATAAGATACAATAACGCATAGAGTGGAGGTTCATCATCCTATCATTTAACTTTCTAGAATTCAACTCTAAACTAAAAAAATGAATAATGAAAAAGACAATCTAAATAAGGCAGCTTGTCAATGGAATGACTGTCCCAGGCAATCAACCTTGAAATCATAAACACATGTTGGCTGAAGTAATGGAAAGAACAGGTAAATGATAATAGGTTTCCACAACATAAGAAGTGAAATGCATTATTCAGATGGCCAGGCAAACAGATGATGATGGCTTCCTTAACATACTTAATATCCAAAATACACAAAATAAAACCAATGGGTTTATAATGATACTCCCCCAAAACAAAAAAATCATTGGTCGACTTTGGACCACTGATCTGGATCATTAGAAAACCAACTCGCTATTTTGAAAACTGGTAAATAAAAGAAGAGAATCAAGCATTTATTCCTGCCCTTACTATAGGAACTACGTCACTAGGTAACCAAACAGTTGAGGAAACAAAGTTTTAGAAGTAGTCTGGCTAAAAAACTGAAGAAGAAATGAGAAAAAAATAGAATGGTATCAGTTTGAAATCTCTATTTAATTAAGGTCTTTAGGTAGTGATCATTAATAGCTGCTAAAAATCATAAAAAGAAAGGCAACCAGATACTGGAAGTATAGAATACCACCTATGAAGGATTACTGCCAAAAAACTCAAACCCTAAATCTCAAGCCTCAAGATCTAATTATTTACAAAACAAAACAAAACAAAACGAAAAAAGCAGGAATGCACAGCACTTGGGATGCAAGCAGCAAAATTCAGTCTCAAGCCCTGGACAAACAGTCCAGATTCTTCAACAAATAAATTACAAGGGAAAAAAAAAGGTTGGAAGGCAACCAATAAATTCAAAAAAGGACTTATGGGTCACTATCAATCAATTGCAAAGCATGGACCTTATTTGTATACTGATTGAAACCAACAAACCATTAAAACACTTATGCGATATTCAGGGAAATGTAAACCTGGATATTTAATACTAAGGAGGTACTGTGGTTAGGCTTAACATCCTAATCTTCTACAGCAGAGGTTCTCAGAGTGTGGTTTATGGACCTCCTGAGAGTCAAAGTTATTTTTAATAGTAATACTAACAACATACATTTGCTTCTTTCACTGTGTTTACATTTGCACTGATGGTGGAAACATGAATAAAACTGCTGGCACCTTAGCAGAACTCAGGGTAGTAGAACCAAACATTACTAGCAGTCATATTCTCCATTCAAGTGAAGGGGAGAAAAACCAGTTTTACTGAAAAATGTCCTTAATGAAGCAGTGAAAATAAATAGTTTTATTAAACTTTGACCGTTGAGTACACATCTCTTTCATATCCTGTAACTTTTAAAAAATGAAAGTCCTCAAACAGGCACGATGGCCCACACCTATAATCCCAGCACTTTGGGAGGCCAAGGTGAGAGGCTGGATTGAGCCCAGGAGTTTGAGACCAGCCTGAGCAACACAGTAAGACCCAGTCTCTATGTAAAAAATAAAGTAAAATAAAATGGAACATTTCATAAGCACTTCTACTGTATAGTGAAGACGACTGTCTTGAACAAAAGCACTTGCATGATTCTGAACTAGTCCCTTTCATCATGGAATATCTTTTTTACTCGACTAGCCAGCTGACACCAACTAGGTTAACTCATCAACATGTTAACACCCATTATGTTAATTCAGACTTAGAATTAAGTTGACGATGCTGTAGATATTTGGCAGACAAAGAAATAAACAAGAAGAAATGAAAGCAAACAAAAAAAGTAAATCTTTTACTCTGAGGAAAATAATTTTAAGTATTTGCTGAAAATGATTAAAATTGTGAGCTTCAAGCAAAAATCAGAATTTTAGGAAACTTCTCTGCACCACTATGGGCTTGATAGCTCCCTGACATATTTAAAGGCTTTTCTAATGACATCAGTAGTCATATTAACAAATGCAATTTTTTTATTATAATGAAATATGTCAACATTTGAAAATCTGCATAACTCAGCAAACCAATTATTTTCCAAATGACCAATTAGGATGCTACAAAATATGCATGTGTAAAAGATACATTTGAAGTACAAGACAAACCAATGAACTTTAAACATAAAAAATGCAGAAGGTTCATTCATATGGTTTCAGTTTCTACATCAAAACCAATCTTTGAGAAACTACAACTTATCGTTTTGGTGTAGCATCAAAAAAATATCCATAGACCAGGCGCCTTGGCTCATGCCTACAATCCCAGCACTTTGGGAGGCCAAGGCAGACAAGTGGATCACTGGAGCTCCAGAGTCTGAGACCAGCTGGGAGACATGGCGAAATCCTGTCTCTACTAAAAAATATGACAAATTAGCTGGGCATGGTGGCGCATGCCTGTAGTCCCAGCTACTTGAGGCTGAGGTAGAAGGATCACCTGAGCCTGGAACGTAGAGGCTGCAGTGAGCTGTGATTGTGCCACCACACTCCAGCCTAGGGAACAGGGGTGAACCTGTCTCCAAAAAAAAGGGGGGGCGGGGGCAGGGGCTGGGCACAGTGGCTCTTGCCTGTAATCCCAGCAATTTGGGAGGCCAAGGCAGGCGGATCACTTGAGGCCAAGAGTTTGAGACCAGCCTGGGCAACATGGTGAAACCCTGGCTCTACAAAAAATACAAAAATTAGCTGGACTTGGTGGCGCACACCTGTAATCCCAGCTACTCGGGAGGCTGAGGCACGAGAATCGCTTGAACCCAGGAGGTGAAGGTTGCTGTGCGCCAAGATTGCACCACTGCACTCCAGCCTGGGTAAGAGTGAGACTGTCTCAGAAAAAAAAAAAAAAAATCAAAATATTCCTCTCTTTCCAACCACTTATCTGCATGAAATCAGAGTTTCCTCATATACTTAAATATAAAAAATAAAATACTACAATGGAATGAATGCAGAAGTAGATGTAAGAATCCAGCTGTTTCTGTTAAGCCAAGTCATTAGAGAGATTCACAAAAATGTAAACCAATGTTATTCTTACTAAATTCATCTGGAAAATAGATATATTTTTCATTAAACATGGTTTTTGGTTTTGTTTTGTTATCGAGACAGTCTCACTCTGTCGCCCAGGCTGGAGTGCAGTGGCGTAATCTTGGCTCACTGCAACCTCTACCTCCTGGGTTCAAGCAATTCTTCCCTCAGGCTCCTGAGTAGCTGGGATTACAGGCGTGAGCCCCGTGCCCAGCCAAAACATGTTATTTATGTTAACATGTAATGAGCTTATTAGCATTTTTTAAATAATAAATTTAAAATCTCAGCTTTAACTTCTAATATGATAAATATCAATAAATACAACTCACATAAAACAAAAGCATTGTGGGTTCCTGGGATCAAGAGATTTGAGAACCATTCTTTTAAAGATATACACTGAAACATTTATAGGAGAAATTATATGATGTCTGGACTTTGCTTAAAAATAATCAAGAGGGCTGGACGCAGTGGTTTACGCCTGTAATTCCAATACTTTGGGAGGCTGAGGCTAGAGGATTGTGGCCATGAGTTCAAGTTCAGCCTGGGCAACATAGTGAGACCCCATTTCTACAAAATTTTTTTTGTTTTTGTTTTGAGACGAAGTCTTACTCTGTTACCCAGGCTGGAGTGCAGTGGTATGATCTCGGCTCATGGCAACCTTCGCCTCCCAGGTTCAAGCGATTCTTAGGCCTCAGCCTCCCGAGTAGCTGGGATTACAGGTGTGTGCCCAACTAATTTTTTGTA